ATAAGCAGCTGCACTTGAACTTCTCTCAGCTACTAGGATTTGAAGACGGGGCGTTCTGTATGTAAGTGGAAAGGTAAATTTCACCTAGATGAGCTCACAGGTTTAATCAACTCCGTGTCACAGCCATCCTTGATCTTCATGCGGGCAGTGTCCTGGCTGACAAATAAGCATTCAGCTCTTGTGTAGCTCAGCTACGCTTTTATTGATTTACAAAGGTCTGTCGCAGTTCAGGGCAATTGCCTCTGCATTCCCTCTCTGTGGTCCACCCAAGAGCACCCATGTTAGGTTCCCAGCCTTTACCTCTCCTGGGTGAAGACCCATATCTCACACCCTCCTGACTGGGGGTTCCTAAAGGCTGCACAATCCCTGCCTACACTGTGATTTCCCCAGTAACCCAGACTGCCTAAAGGGTCAATGTCTGCCCTTTGCTTTCTCTCCAGAGACTATTTCCAGGGTATGGCCTGCAGTTATATGTTACCACACAGCTTTTTCTAAGCAAGCACACTTATTCCTCTGTATTACAGAGGAAACCCATAAAACCCCATCAAAGTTCCTATATGCATGCTAATAAGCTTACCAGAGTCACCCGACCGTCTTCTCTGGCCTTGATAGGTCAAGTCCTTCTAACTCTTCTGAAAGGATTAGGGACCTCTGTCTGGACAGAAGGTCCTGTGCATCTTCTGGATCACAAAGCAGCCCCTGAGTCAGTTTAACCTCAGGCCAATTATCCCAAAGTCTTTTTTTTTGTCTGTTGGTGTCTGGAGAATCCAGCTGGAACTAGTCTAGGCGAGACATGCCAGAATGTGGTGCCTCTCTGTGGGGGCTGCTGCGTCCTGGCTGATTTGCCATCACCACCACCACCAACAACCCCTATGGTTTTTAGTTCCTGGATTTGCTGTGGTAGCCCTTTCCCATGGAGTAGAACACAGTTCTACAGAAACCATTCATTTAAAAGAATGGATCCCAAAGATATTGTCACAGGATCAGCTCCACTAACCAAATGGCCAAAAGAGTCCATTTATAGGATCCAAAGGCTAAAACAAGGGAAGGGAAATGAGCTAGGCCCACCTCAGACGTTCACCGTGAAATTGAGAGTCTGTAACCAGTGTCTAGATATTGTCTTGCTGGTTGCATTACAAATACAGAGAGAGATTACATCAGGGCAGCAGCTGAGAAGTGCTGTCAGATGATGGGGGTGAGTCTACAGTCATTCTGGTGGCTACTGTTACAGTGTCCTCTTCAATGAGAGGGTAGCTACAGGAGGCAGAGTGGTTCAGAAGCTAGAGCATGGGCATGGGAATCAGGACTCCTGACCAAGTTTAATCCTAACCCTGCTACGACCATGGGAAGGTCACTTCTCTGCTTTGTGTCCAGACCTGCAAAGGCTTAGACAAGTAGAGACCCAGTAAAGTCCATGGAACTACATGTGTGAATAAGGGCTGCTAGCCAGGGCTGGCCTTACCATGAGGCGAACTAAGGCAGTTGCCTCAGGTGCCAGACTGTGGGGGGCACCACTAGGACCCAGAGTGTAGAAAATTGTATCTGCTGCTGATGCATATGTATTCTCTCTACTCTAGATGCACAGAGATGGTGGAGTGCTGTGCTGGAGGAAGGAGGGCACAAGAGACCTTTCAAAGTTTTGGCCCAAGCGAGGGGGCGTGGGGGCGTCATTTGAGCTCCCTGCCTCAGGTGCCAAAACGTTGTGGGCCGGCCCTGTTGCTAGCATAGTAAAGACTTTGCAGGATTAGGCCCTATTAACACTGTGATGAAACATTTGAAAAGGGTAATTGACATTTAGGAAGCAGGTGTCACCAGAACTGTCTGACTCCTTGAAGCCATGTGCTGCCCCTTTGAGTTAGGTAAACAAACACAGGCAGAGCAAGCTCCTCCCCCTTTGTGGGCTCCACAGGAACTACTCTATTAAAGATTAAACCAGGTGCTCTCCTCTGACCTCCTAATTTTACCAACGAGTTGCACTCTCAGAAGGCCAAAGTAAATATGACTAGACAACCTGGGTGTAACAATAATCCAGCACCACTTGTGCAGCAGGGCCCCAAACAGCATCTAAATGGGCCTGTCCAGGAGAATCAAATCTTTTTGCTACCTTTCCTATTCTATCTGTTTACAAGTTATAACTAAAACCATTGTCAGTTTTTTGGGAGTTCCAGATTTCTCATTCTGTACCTGATTATGAGCTGTTTCCTGAGGGTTTATCATTGCTGGACTGGTGCTTGCTAAGATTCTGTTACACTTCATTTTGCCATTTGACCTGGTTATGTCCTCTACAATTACTGTATTCTTGCTACCCTAGCAAAACTCTGCAGTGAGCACCATTGTGTGGGGCCGGGGCTGTGCAAACCTCTCTCTAAGAATATGAAACCCTTGACATTGGAGGATTTTGCTTTTCATTTTGAATTGTCAAAAACTGCGAGAGTTCACTGAAAATCTGACTTCAGCTAGAGTTCTGCATGAATGGCAATTGAGGCCTGATTTAGGACTTAGCCCAGTAAGTGTTCTACAAAAGGTCGTGAATCTTATATACAGGCCTTGTATTAGAAAGAAGAAGATTGGCAAACCCAGAGGAGAGTGAGTCTGTGAAAATCAGGGCTTCCTGGGATTTATTGCAGAAAATTACTTATTTTTAATATATTTTGGGAGGTGAAGAGGAATTAACATTAGATCCATTATTATAATTAATTAATGTTAATGCAGATCCAACTCTCACTGAAGCCCACGTGAGACATCTCATGATGCTAAAAGACCTTTTATCTGATCCTAATTTTGCTATTTTATAAAGGGAAGCTTTTCAGTTCCTCAGATGCTAAGAAACTGACATTATTCATTCTGTTTTAAAGTGCGTATTCTACAGTTCGTTGTAATCTACATACATTTGACCAAGTATTTTCAAAACCTTGCCTGGATCAATCAGATATTAATGGCGTGTATCTTTAGTTACCGAATAGCTTTGTTTAAAACCAAGGTTTCTTGCTGGATGTAATTATTTCCCCTGGCAACTTAAAATCAAGGTTGTTTTATTTTAAATGTAATTGCTTTCCTTGGCAGCTCGCATGGCAACCTAATGAGGTTACGGATGATGGCCCTGATGTATCAAAGCATTTAAGCATGTTTTTAAAGTTAAATATGCAATTAAGTGCTATGCTGACCCAGGGCCTGTATGATGATAGGATTGCCTTTGTGTTGATTTTCTTTCCTTGATAATCCGGGGGTGAATATTTGATAAGTTTTATAACTGGGTGAACATAAGGGTTTGAATATATAATGATACCCTCAAATAGTTGTTTTCTGCACTCAGAAACTGGATAAGAAGCTCGGAAGTCTAGAGATCTGTCAAAGCCTAAAGTTGGCAGCTGGAATTTGTGTATGACAGTCCTTTGCACTTGCTACCTTCTGATAAGCCAATTCAGCTGGCCCTGAAAAATCAGTAAATAAACAAATAACTGAATGGCTTCATTAGTTTTGTCTGGACTAATTTATCCTGAAACACACACAGAGGTACAGCTCTAAATCCCAAATAAAGCCCATGCTTCATTCAAGAACCATTTTTCATTGTCTTTTCAGGATAATTCATTGTAAGAAAATCCTGAAGTTTTGCTTAGATTCATAAGTCGTCCTAAAGGAGGGAGATGTTGACTTTTGCATTTTAACCTTATGAATTGTCATATGTCAAAAACATAAAAGGGGCTTGGACATGAGCCAGTGCCAAATTGCAAATATTTCCTTAAAGAGGCCTAGGGTGGCAGATTTGGCTGAGCCATATCTCCTGTCCTAGGTAACTGCCTAGTTTGCCTAGAGCTAGAGTGGCTCCTGGCTGTATATGCACCATAAAAACTGGAATGAGGTGCTGAGGATTATGTGGATGTTAGAGAGGCAAAGCAGAGCAAGTCCATGGAGAGTTCTGAAAACCAGCAGAGTGTTTTTGAATTAGTCTGGGAGATGAATAGGGAGCCTGTGACAGTGACACAGGGGATACTGACTTATCTATTCCCTCTTCCCAAAGGAGTGTGACAGTCAGTGTTCTAGAAAAAAGAAAAGGAGTACTTGTGGCACCTTAGAGACTAACCAATTTATTTGAGCATAAACTTTTGTGAGCTACAGCTCACTTCATCGGTTACTCTGAAAAGTGTTCTAGAGTTATTCTGGGCTCGGAAAAACTCCTTGCTAACGCCTCACAGTGTTGGGTATGACCCAGGAACAGGTAGTGACCCAGTGCTATCCCAGTGTGAGTGTGCAGAAACTCCAGCTTTCACTGGAAAAGTGGCTCTGCCCTTGGCTTTTCCTCCAGTTAGGAGAAAGTAGTTTCTGACCTGGAATGCTCATGGGGGCAGCACTTTTTAAAGGTAGTTTCCCAGGCTTTTTAATATACAGTAGAACCTCAGAGTTACAAACTGACCAGTCAACCACACACCTCATTTGGAACTGGAAGTACACAATCAGACAGCACAGATGGGAAAAAAAAGCAAATACAGCACACTGCTGTGTTAAATGTAAATTACTAAAAAAAATAAAGGGAAAGCAGCTTTTTTCTTCAGCATAGTACAGTTTCAAAGCTGTAGGAAGTCAATGTTCAGTTGTAAACTTTTGAAAGAACCACCATAAGGTTTTGTTCAGAGTTATGCACATTTCAGAGTTATGAACAACCTCCATTCCCGAGGTGTTTGGAACTCTGAGGTTCTACTGGATTCTTTAGGAGAAACAAAGCAGAAAGCAAAAGCTTTAGTCTGGGTGTGAAATGTGCCAGTTCCAAATAAACAGGTTGCTTCTGGTCTTGTTCTAGTGGGGAGCAAAAGGGGCATCAGAGAAACCACTAAAAGCTTTAAAAATGTGTTTTATTTACTTAAAAATAAACAGTCTGACCACTTTGGACCTGCTCCTGCTTTCATTATAGACCATGGGAGTTTGGCCACTGATTCCGATGGAAGCAGGTTTGACTCTTTTATGTCCAGTGTCACCGATGAATTCCCCCTTCTCTTCCAATTCAGGAACAGAAGACAGAGGAAACTGAACTGAATCAGTGATTTGCTATACAGAGTCCTGCTTCACCAAGCTCTAGCCCTCACCTGTACCATCACTAGTCTAGTGGAGTGTTGTAATTAAGAGAAGAAGAGGCAGAGAGACTGGATAAAACTGGGTATGCTATGGGTGTTCAAGTCTTCATTGCTGGAGTCCAGGGAGAGACAGTCGCTCTGGATTAATGAGCTGGCCATGTGCTTCTCTGGCCAACGTTGATGTTCCCACTGCTGAGAGCAGAGCTGAAATCAGTGAGGGCTGTTTGCTTTCCCTATAAAATTACTTGTGTAACTTGCCTCCACCTGGATGAAGATTCTCTTTGCGGCACCTTGCAGCTCTAAATCCTGAGAATAAAACTGTTGACATGCATCCAACTGAACAAATGCACAGATATCGGACCTACCTGATCTTAAAATAGGGCTGCAGAGGTGGCAGCAGGAGTCAACTGTTCTCTTCTCATGACTTGCCCATACCCAGCTGTCTTGCAAGCTGATGTGATCTCCTCTCCCTGTTTGCAATAAGGCAGGGGCCACATTCTACAGACATGGTAACGGCACTGGTTCTTCCTTGTCAATACATAGCAGGGCCTGGAGTTCTGTACTGGAGCACAATGCAGCAAGGCCAACAAAAAATATTTGTTTCCGGGTGAGAGGCTCTTAGGCCTATGGGGCAATACCCTGCTTAGATATGCTAACCAGATTCCCCTTTAGTGTGAAAAGAGCCACGTTTATTTTTGTTAATTTATGCAATTATTTGTGAAGGGTGTTTGTTGCTGATGGTGTTTAGGATTAGATTGTTCAATGATCTTAGCTGGTATAGCAGGAGACAGAGTACCAGAGCTTATGGAACAATAATAAATATGGCAAATCTTATGTGAAACATCTCTGACTTTTGCTCAGTATCAAACCTGACCTGCTTGGTGAAAGCTTTTGCTCCATCTCTTCTCAGAATAAAGGCTCACAGGCAGGTACAGAAAAGTAAATATAATAATTCCATCCAGAGATCCCTTCCATTCCTAGATCTCAACATTACTTAGCAAGGAGTAATGAATCAAGGTTCAGAGTTAGACTCCCCTTTAAGTCAGGCAGAGTTAAACACCCTTAGAGCTTAGAATCCTCTCACATACATTCTGGGTGAACCAGACTGAATAAAATAAGAACTCTCTTGAGCCTTGCCCAAATCACAAGCCTCTTCTGAGACTCAAAAATGTTTTTTCCTCCCTCTCCCACCCCTCCCATCATCACTTTTTTTAATTATGACTTTCCACGCAGGGTGCCTGGGCTAAGAAGGTAGATGGGGATTTTGAGAGAGCAGGAGCAGGTGTGAAAGGAAATTGGCCAACCTCCACTAGTTTTAGGAGAATTATTTTCAGTTTGTCAAAAGAAAAAATAATCTCTTAATTCCTGTTCTTGGATATTTTCTCACACTACATCCTTTTTCTTCTTGGCACTAAGACCTTGTTATCGGCTTGTTCTGAATTTGTTTTCGGCTTGGCCTTGAGGGCATGCATTCATATTGCGAGTGGGTTGCCTGGGAAAGCAAGCCCATCTATTTCTTTTGCAGTCAAGGACAGCAGACAATCTATGGAATGGCTTGAGAGAGAGAGGACAGGGGGAGTTTTAACATGAATATGGTAATTCTATAAAGCTCTTAATAACAGGTCTCTTTGGAATAAAACCTAGGAGCCTTGATACTTAGCCTCAGCTCATACCACAGGACCAAACTGTCTCCTAGACTCTAGCTCAGGATTAATCAACAGCTCACTTTGGTCAAATCAGTATTGTAACAGCAGTGCAACGTGCAGTGTGCTCTCTCCTTTGTTCTGGGAATGTTAGAGCAGCCCCTGGAAGGGAGGGGAGGGAGAACCCTGTGTGTATCTGGCTCATGCAAGGAATGGCATTGCGCACAGCTCCTTCCAGCAGCTGCCAGAGGGAGGGTTATCACAATGCTGGGTGGCGGAGGGACTGTAAGGAGTATAGGATGCTGAGGGTGGGGTGCGGGCTGGAATTGGGACCCTTCAAAGATTTCCGGCCACTGACCAAAAAAAGCCATGATCTGCTTTACTCTTTAAACCCAGAACAGTTGAGCAGAGTAACCCTTCTGAAAATGATCAAAAGCTCTTAGACTCATGGCTCTAAAGGAGCCCAGCCCTGACATATGGAGTAGAGCTAACAGAGCATGATCACAGTGCTTGCTTTCTCATTTCCCCGGAGCTGGATGCTTTTCCCCATCTGACTAGCAGAGGAAAGGAGCTGGGAGGAGAAACCATTCAGTAAATTACAGAGACGGACAAGTGCCACATACACAAAGACCCAGCTGTCCCTTTGGCCTTGGCAAGGAGCCAGCTCTTCCCTATTCTGCCAGGTCAGTGAAGCACACACAGAATTGACTGTGTGAAAGGGAATGTTAGCGAAGTATGGTGTGGAGCTATGTAGTCTCTTTTTTGATTGCTGTTATCCTCCCACCCCCGCTGCACTTTCCCTTTGGCTAGGGCAGACGGGGAGCAGGAGCAAACATCATTACATAGCCACAGTCTTACATTGGTGCCCATGAGCTAAGCAGCAGCACAATCCAAGCCTTGCGTCTGAAAAATTAATCAAGCATTATTTCCAGCATCACAGGAGACCACTGGAGCCTCACTTAGTGCCAGGGGACATCAGCACATGTGGCATCAGCAGAAACAGAGGAATGTGTCTCCATGGACAATGAGATGAAAAGGAAAGAGTTCAAAGATCTTTACTAAGCTCAAACTCAGGAACCAAACTTTGGGGGGTTCAGAATCTATAACAGAATGTTGCAAAGCCCCCCATGTTTATAACAGGCAGAACCAAAGCCCCAGACTCCTCCTTCTTCACCTCTTCTGCCCCAAGAGTCTTCAAAATCCTCACCTGGATCCAAATGTGAATTGAGCTTTACTGCTCTTGTTTGCATTTTCTGATAGACATTTTTAAAGGCACACTGTGAACTTGAATATTTCTAGCACAGCACCCTTTAATAGTAACCCCCTCCCCCGCAATGTTTGCTCTCCTAGGCTCTTAGTTGAAATGAAATCAGAAATGGTGAAATATTACTAGACCTCTTTGGCATCATGATTATTATTATTTGTAATGCAGTAGCTCCTACAAGCTCCAGTCATGGTCCAGGATTCCATTGTGCTAGGTGCTGTACAAATGTAGAACAAAAAGATGGTCCCTGCCCAAAAGATCTCATGATCTAAATGTAAGACAGAAGAAAGAGATGGGTACAGGCAGAACAGATTGGGGGAACCAAGGAAACAATATTGACCAGCATCATGGGCAGCACTCTCTGCACACCAGTTGCCTAACCATTGTCAAGTTTTTTTGTAGGCATCGTTGCAACGGAGAGTTTTACGAAGGGATTTGATGACCCTCCTTGCTTGTAGCACAGTGGCTCCAGTTCCACAAGCGGATGCATCCACCTGTAAAGCCACTGATGCTGGGCCAGGGAGAGCAATTAACAGTCCCAAGCGTATCCAGAAGTGAAAGTGAGAAGAAGGGTTCCTTTGTGTCCACCACTTCTAAGGAATGTTTCGTCTGCCAGCATCCTTCTGCCCACGAGTTTAACAAAGGCGGACTGAGAGTGAAAGCATCTGGGAACTGGGTCACTGGCAGCTCCACTGCAGTGCAACTTGCTTAATTAAGGCAGAAAAAATGAACCAGAGGGGAAGGAAATCCCAAGAGGCTGGCAGGAAAGGCAGCTGTGTGCTGAAGGAGCAGATAAAGCCGTTTGCTTGGTCCCAGCAAACAGCCCATTGATGTTCCCCTTAGCTTGGCAAGCACAGCAGCCAGAGCCAAGAACACCCCTGTAAACTCTTCCTGCCTCTGAACTGCTCCCACTTGGCAAAGTGAGCTAGTCATGCTGCCTTGTGATAAAGTGGAAAGGGCAGAGAGCTGGCATGTTCTTGGAATGGGCCTGCTAGGCTTTGCCATGAAATAAAGTGAAGCATTAGGGACAGCTGACTCCAAATAGAGGAATTGTTTCTTTTATGGAGGGAGAATGGATCACATCAACTTCCACATGCCCCTGTCTCTGACCCCCTTCTGCCTCTCACACACCCTCGTTCCCCCCCCCAACCCTCACACACACATTCTCTCTCATTTTCTGTTCTCTGCTGTTGTCTATTGGCTCCAGCCCTTTCAGAGTGCAATCAACACTAAAACCAACTGGACTCTCTCCATGGACCTAAAGGGACTTGGATCAGGCCTGCTATTCCATTTTCCTGCAGAAAAACATCTGTAACTTTATCTTGTTGGCATCAGAGGAGAAGACAAGCGAAAGGGAGAAGCCAAGCTGTGGGTCAAGTTCTCAGTGTCACAGGTGGTAGGAGCTAGCTCTAGAGGTCACACTGTTTGACTTGACCCTCAGCCACACTCAAGATCAGCTTTGGGTCCCATCTCATGGCCCTGCAGTGAGCTGTGTACATTTTGCCCAGGTTGGACAAGGAGCTTTTCCACTCGGGAGACCCAGGCGCGCTGAGGTGCTGCACACCTATGCATTCTGCTGTACAATAAGTTTGCCTGGGCTAAGTCACATGATGTTCTCAAATATGGCCAGTAGGCCCACTTCTAGTGCCTGCAAATTAGGGAGCCTGTTGCCTTGCTGATGGGGTTTCAGCAAGGTTTAGCCAAGGGAAAACATGGCCTGTCTCAATGTGGCCCTTTTCCAACTTCAGAGCAAAACTATTTCAAATGAGAGGTTCACACAAGGCTACTCTCCACCTCGTTCAGAATAAGGGAGAATTAACTCTTGTCCTTTAAAGCTAGTGCTGGGCCCAATCAGCAAAGTTCAGTTTGGGAGCTGGAGGTTAACTATCCCAAAGTTTTTTGGGAGGCTATATTGGGCGAGAAGTCTACCACAAAGTCTGGATCCTGATCTGAATTTCCTCCAAGTCTGAGGTTTTGGTTTGGGTCCCATAGCTGTATAAAACTAAATTTTTGCTCTGTTGTCTGTGGAACAAGCTTCTGCTAATCCAGCGGGCTGAGCTTTGCTTTTGGTGCTGCTTGTCGAAACAGTCAGTGGAGCCTGTCTTACTTATGGCTTTTGTTAGCTGAACAATGACAATGCCAGGACAGAGTGTTCTTGAGACCGATGGTTGAACAGGAGGAGAGCTTTAGTAGCAGTGCAATGTGAATGTATCCCCTGTGCCCCAGTGTGATGGGGACTAGGAGCACTGAAGAGATAGCAGCATTAGTGCCTGAGACAGAGGAAATCCCTTAGAATTATTCTCCATTGATGCCACTCTGCATAATATGCACAAGACCACTGAGGACCTCTGGCTTTATGTTGATTGATTAGGTAAGGCTTACAGATGAGTAAATGGAGGTATGGAGTGATTAAATGACTTACCCATGGTCACATAGTGAGTCAGTGACAAAGGGAGGAATTAGAGCTTGAGTCCTAAATTCCTGGTCTCTTTCTGTGAGCATTAGACCACGCTGCCTCTTATTTTCCCAGCTCCTTGGCTTCCCCGCATTCCTTTGTCACAGCCACACATGGTCAGACATGGAAGATAGTGTTTCTTTTATTTTTTATTCTTTCAGAAGGCCTGCTCCTGGGAGGGGCTAGGCCCCCTGAATTGCCAAGCACTCAGAACCTCACAGTCTGCTCTGTAATAATATTTTCCATGTCTCCAGTGCAGCCTCTCTTAAGTAGCAACTTTATTCCTCTGACCACCATTAGAACTCTAGTCTAATCCCTTGTAACTAGTCAGTGGGTGGGTTTTGCAAACCCCTGCTCAGCACACAGCAAGTAATAACATCTGTTGTG